ACAGAGAGACAGAGACAGAGACAGAGACAGAGACACACAAACATACACCACTTATCCAAGTCAGAATTCGACCTTAAAATTTGTCAAGTATTATGTCTGCTGCCATATCCACATATACCCTCTAATCGAATTCTCATATAATTATACTTTAATGATAAGGAAACTAAAAGTCAGAGCAACTTTATAAGGATGCCTAAAAGTAGAATACCATCAAGCATGCCCAGTCCATGACCCTTGAGCTAAACTGGCCCAAGATAGCTATGGACATAGCCCAACATGAAATTTTAAATGTACTTGAAACAGTCTGAGGTTTTTTTTGTGTGTGATTTTTCTTTTGGTAACTTGATCCTCTACTTCTGGAGTGTGAACTTTGTAGAAAGAGGAAAATGACAATGCTCTGTCTCAATGTCAAAAGGTTGGACAGACCTGAAACAATGTTAATTGCAATAAAAATTATTAAGTATTATTTTATACAGGTGAGAATGCTGTAGGACCCTGAGACCCTCCTCAGAGCCCCAACTAATTGCCTTCACAGCTTACTGCTTTAAACATGCCCTGACACCCCCACCCCCACTGCTCCCTCCTCCCCTCTAAGAAACTATAGATTAGGCAAGCCTGGACACAAAACTGCCCTATAAGGAGACTCCTGACCCCACAGGTGACAGTCAGCACATTCCACAACCCTGAGAACAGCACCCACCAATGGAAAACCTCCAGATCTGTACTCTATATGTCCAATCATTTCAAAATTATGTTGGCACGCACAGGCTCCTTAAACCAACCAAAAATTTAACTTCAGAATCCCCCTCCTCCCTTTGTCTAAAACTTATAAAAGACTACACTCTCCCTTACTCCAGGCTCTCAGCACAGATCCGCGGCATTGGTGAGGTCTGAGAGCCCGAGCTTAAGCCCGAATAAACCATAAACCCTTGCTTTTGCATTTTGGTGTGTTGGGTCCTCGGTGGTCTTTTTGGGGTCCAGTGGACAAGGTATAACAATGCTAATTATATTTATTAAAGCATATAAATATTAAATACAAACTTCAATCATCAGAATGATAGGATACTGTGTTCTGATTGATGATATAGTTTGGCAAAAGAGAAAATAGTGCCTCAGTTGATGTTATCAAACAGATGATGAAAGCAGTACTAAGATACAATGACAGGATGTACTCTTTGATGGACCCCACTAAGAAGCTACAAACATACATACTCTGTGATACTTTTGCCAAATTGTATAACCTTAATTAATCATCAGAGAGCATCAGACAAACTCAAGTCAAAGACATTTACAAAATTAACCAACATCTCTTTCAAAAAATAATTTTTATTTTATGTATATGAATGTTTTGCCTGCATGTATGTATGTGCACCCAAGTCATGCAATGCCCATGGAGACCAGAAGAAGGTGTCAGATCCCCTGAAACTGGAGTTATAGATAGTTGTTAGCTGCCATGTGGGTTCTTGAAATCTTACCTGGGTCCTCTGTAAGAGCAGCCAGTGCTCTTAACTGCTGAGCCATCTATCAAGCCCCCAGAATCCCAGTATGCCAGAACCTTTAAATATATATATATATATATATATATATATATAGTATTTTTTGTATGTATGAGTGTTTGCCTGCATTCATGTAAGTACACCACATGTATGCAATGTTTGCAGAGGTCAGAAGAGAGTGCTGGATCTCCTCGAACTGGAGTTACAGATGGTTGTTAGCTACCATGTAGGTGCTGGGAACTGAACTTGGGTCCTCCATAAGAGCAGTCAGTGCCCTTAACCTGAGCCAGGTCTCCAGCCCCCAACCAGTACTATTAAAATATATCACAATCAGGTAGGATAAAAGGCCAGTGAAGAACTGTGCTATGTTGGCTTGGGCTAATTTGATGTGTTCAGACTGTCATTCATTACATAGTACTGATGTGTAAATGTAGGCTTAGGAAATCAGAATGACTTCATATTGCATCCAAAGAATTCACTAAAGTCTATTATGTGAGTTCATTATCATATCATTTGCAATTTTCCCCTAGTAGTTATAATCACAAAAGAATTCCTTGTTAACTAGAGACATCAGTTAACACATTGGGAATTAAACTGTATACTAGACTAAATTTATGTATGCCATTTTTCTTTTAACAAAGGAGGTCTGCTTTCCTAAATCAGTACTTCAATCAGAATTTCCAGGATTATCATGGTTACTTCCATTGCCCAATCAGAGAAGATGACAGACAGAAGTATCACAGAGAAAGGAGACAAGGAAGCAGGAGACAGGATGACCTTCTAGCACATTCACTAACTGGGGCCACTGCTACATGCTCCAGGCTAGAGTGAGCAGCCTGCTGCTGAGTAGGTTTTAAATATTAATGCAGTGGAACAGGTGAGATGCAGCTCTTCCACCTGGAGGCCCAGTCCCAGAACCTGCCTGCCTCAGGGCAGGACTGTGGATCTGCTGCTCATGGTCGCCTTGGGGGAAATACTGTTTGCTATCAGCTATGTGGCTGTGGGTATTGTCATCCCAAGGACCAGCAATAAAAAGTGAATGACAGCTCTCACAGAGGGGAGTGTGTGTGTGTGGGGGGGTGTGCCCTTAGCTATAGCTATGCTTGAAATAAATTTCTAATGAATAAAGATCAACTTTACTATTTAATTAAAATTGGGTGAGGCATATATATTGGTCCAAATGTGATGCTTAAGATCCAAATGCTCAGACATGAGAGAAAGATCTCTAGGGAAATCAAAACAACGTGAAGAGAGAACGGAACCAAATGGGACCCCAGAGCCCCTGCCCTTGGGGCTAAAGCAAGCATAGGGGCCAGAACTTGACTGATTCTCAGGCTCTTCCCAGACCTCAGATTAGCTGGGTATTAGTGCAGCCAGGCCTCAGCTGTCCATGAAAATGAGAAACCATTTTAAAAGCAGCATTTGAATTTTAAAGGTACTCAACATTTGTAGTATTTACTGAAAAAGGTCAACACTGGAGTGTTTTACTTATGCACAGCAGAATCTCAGTCTAAAAGCATTAGGGGGTTCCCATATGGCACATGCTGAGGATGTGTTAAATACATAATTCAACAGTCAGGAAAATAATTTTTCAATTCAATGAATGCATTATTAAAAGACCTCTACTGTACCCACCACTGTCAGAGAGAAGAGACAGTGGTAACCTGGCATCCTGAAAATAAAGGTCCACCCAAGGACCGATCCACTTCCTGTAAACTAAGGACAATAACTCCAGCCCACACAGGACTCCACACTTCTAGTATCTCCTAGTCAATATAGGAATAAAGGAAAATATTTGGATAAAGCTCACAGTGGCTGGGCATGGTGGCACACACCTTTAATCCCAGCACTCAGGAGGCAGAGACAGGTGGGTCTCTGTGCGTCCAAGACTAGCCTGGTCTACATAGTGAATTCCAGGACAGCTGGGGCTACAGGGAGACCCTGTCTCAAAAAGACCAAAAAAAAAAGAAAACCTTCGGGTGCATATACAACATTTTCGTTGAAGAACATTTGGTTCTTTGGACAGAAGATGTCTCTCAGATTTGTATCTGGTTTCATTTTTCTAGCTCCTGAATCTGTACCAGCATTCCCATCAACACCCAATTCCTTCAAGTCAAGGATATAATATGCTGATTCCTTCAAATAAGACTTGTGTTAAAATCCTTATGTTGGGAAAAAAAGAAAAAAAAAATTGAAATACCTTGATGAATGCTGTAAGAACTCTGCATTTTGATAGAAAACTCTGTTTAAAATGTTGATTTAGATTTACTTGCTAAGCTTGCCTGTTCTGCCTGATTGTATCTACCACACATGGATGATTAACCTAGTTGAAATGCTAAGAATTGAAGTGCTGTAAACCTCCTTCCTGGACCCTGGACCCCAGACTCAGTTGATTTACAATGTGTCCTGTAGGCCTGTTTGCACATACCAGATAACCAATAAGGAACAAAAGAGGGAAGTTGCACCAGGCTTACACCAGATCTAGCCTTCCTGGAAAAGATGTTTAACCGAAACTATAGCTTTTAGAAGATGTTTGATCAAAGTGTCTGCTGAGGAATGCTTTTTGTGTAATGACTATGTGGGCCTACATAATCTGTACCTGAAACTGAATGGGGGTCGATCGTTCTGACCAGACTTGCATGTCTCGGGAAACCGGTCGACCCCAGCTAGCTGGAAACTAAAGACTCTGCTTGATTTTTACATCTCCAATCCCGTGTATTTGTTACCTGGAGGGGACCCATCGAGTCACGGACCCTAACAATTAAATGTCTATGCAAGTGATTTTTTTATTAACTGTACCAGAAATAATACATAATACATACAAATTCCATGACAGTGAGAGGAGTTATTAACATCAGTAAGTCAGGAGTATCTGTTGTATAAGTTAAAAATCTTCTTTAGGAAAAAGTCCAGTGTTTTAAATATACTATGGAAATCCATGAAGTTCATGCCAGGAAAAATTTGACTAGAATATAGAAGTGTCTTCATTAGTCTTTCTCTATAAAGGGAAAATTATCTGATAACTTTATCACTTATAAAAACAAATCCATAGTACATTTAAATACACAGTTTGGTCCTAAATGTTATATTCACACACTTCCCAGTATATCTCTTTCATATAAAGCAAAGTAAATCTGTGATAAGATTTCTGCCCTATTCAAACATAGCATCTCCATACTACATGGAAATATATGTCCAGTTTTATATTACACTTTCATGTTAAAATGAAAATATAAAAATTTAAGTAGGGGCTGAAGAGATGTTCAGTGGTTAAGAGCGCTGTCTTCTCTTGCAGAGGCTGCTTTTACAGAGGACCCAGATTCGATTTCCAGTACCCACATGGCCACTAACAACCAACCGTTAATTCAGTTCCAGGGGAATCCAACACCCTCTTATGACCTCCATGGACATTGCACGACACCAGTAAACCTACATGTATGCAGGCATACACTCATACACATAAAATAAAAATATTAATAAATAATTTTTTTAAATTTAAGTCTTGTGCTCAGTTTGGCAGCACATATACTAAAAATTGGGATAATAGAGAGATTAGCATGGTCCCTGTGCAAGGATGACATGCAAATTTGTGAAGCGTTCCATATTTTTGTTTTTTAAATTTTATTTATTTTTTTTTATTTTATGTGTATGTGTGTATTGCCTGCATGTAGGTATGTGCACCTGTGTTGTGCAGTGCCCGAGGAGGTCAACAGAGGCTGTCAGATCTCCTGGGACTGGAGTTATGGACAGTTGTTAGCTGCCATGTGGGTGCTGGGATTCAAACCTGGGTCTTCTGCAAGAACAACCAGTGTTCTTAACCACTGAGCCATCTCTCCAGCCCCAACATTCCATATTTTTAAAATGGAAAAGTGTAGCCCAGAAACACTTATTCCCCCCAAAAGAGTGAGCTACTGGGTGAGTGCAGGGCACCCTGGGAAGAAGGGCAGGGCCTAGCTGCCAGCAGAGTTAGCTTGGCAGCAAGATTGGAAGGGGAGAAAAGGAAGTGTGTGAGGCCTTCAGGGAATGGTGAGGGCATCCTGTGAGTGTGGAAGGGAGATGGGGCATTTATATACTTGGGGTAAAACTGTGTGCCCACAGGGCAGGTTTTGGGGAAAGCTAATGGACTGTGGGCAGGGTGTGAAAGCTTTGTAAGTCATCCCTTCACTCCCTACCACAAAGGACCATGCATACCCAAACTAAAAATGTCTTATGTTAGTCTATGAGCCTTGGGGCCTTGGGAGGGAGTGCACATGGAGCCTCCCAAGAAGGGAAAAGGGAAGAAAATTTAGAGGGGGGGATCTGGGAAGTAAAGAAATAGAAGGATCCTGAGAGGGAAGAACAGTAGGAGACAGGTGTTACCAAGGGGGGAATGAGGGTATTTAAATGGGAGGGGGAGAGGTAGAGTTATACATATATACAAGAAACGATGGGCATAAAGGGGAAGAAGGAGTTCAAGAAAGGAGGGACCATAGGAGGCAGGTATTATCAAGGGCAAAATGGGAGAAAAGGGGGTGATTTAACTGGAATGAGAGGAGGGAAGGTAAGACTGAGAGAGAGAGAGAGAAGAGAGATAAATAAGGCTTAGCTGGTATTAAAAAACCAAAGGGAAACATATTAGTTCAAAAACCTACTGAAAAATTACCCATAAACAATATCTCTACATGATTCCATGTGCATAGCTGAAAGCTAGCTATATAAGAAGAACAGTGCCACAGGACATGAGAAACCTCCCTTTGAGTTGTTGGCCAGGATTACATAGACTATTACCATAGTCCTTGATTACAATCCAGAACTTGAATATAAGTCCCTATTGCTGAAGTCAGAACATGCTTCAGACACAGGATTTGGAGCAATGGAGTTGAAACTGACCTGGAAGCCACCTCCCTGAAGGCTAGCTCTCAAAACTTTGGAGAGCACTATACAAGCTGCTAAGGGAGCATCAATTGATGGTCTAACCTCAGCTTTAAGGTCTAACCTCAGCTTTAATTACAACAATGACTGGCAGAGCAAATTATATTGATAGCTGTGCTGGATAGCTTTAGTATCAACTTGACACACCTGGGTTGAGGGAGCCTCAATTGGAGAATTGACTCTATTGGACTGGTCTGTGGCCATGTCTGAGGGGCATCTTCTTGATGAGTGATGTGGGAGGTCCCAGCCCACTGTGGGTGGTACTGTCCCTGGGCCGGTGGGTCTATGTTGCATAAGAAAGCAAGCTGCACATGGGCCAGGGGAGCAAGCCGGCAAGCAGTGTTCCTCCATGGCCTGTGCTCCAGCTCCTGCCTCCAGGTTCCTGCCCTGAGTTCCTACCTTGGTCTCACAGATGAACTGTGACCTGGGATATGTAAGCTAAATAAACCCTTTCCTCCCCAAGTTGGTAGTGGTCAGAGTATTTTGTCACAGCAATGAAGAAACAAACTAAGACAATACTGTTGTGGCACTTTTATCTTGAGGGTAATTAACAGCTACCTAATTGGATTTAAAGCACACTCAGTGAGAGGGAACTCATGTGTGGTACTGTAAACATAGCCAAATACACATGATTGGAGAGGTCATAGATCTTAAAGAAAACCCCGAGGATGTCACATCCCTAGACAAATGTAATTTCTTACTATATGTTAAATATGGATCATTATATTTATATACAAGTATGCCACTCACCTCTCATCAAAAAAGCTTCTCTTGCAACAGATGGCAACTATCACAGAGTTCCACAACTGGTCACACACAGAATAAGTGTCTGTAAAATGCCCAGTCCTAGATGACACATCTACAACGCAACCTCTACACGTAAGGCTCACAGAACATAGTGGAACAAGGGATAAAGAGAACACTAAAGCATCTCTCAAGTCTCATCAATGAAGCTCCCTCACACAACAGAGGTCCATGAACACAAAAGGACACAGACGGCCAAAGTGTAGAGAATGAGATTCTGCCTCCATATTAAACTTCTGCCACCTAGGGTTCAGGGACCACTGCAGATGAGAGGACAGAAGATTGTAAGAGCCGGGGGAGGAAATGCATGACCATATTGAAATAGAATCTTACAGGCTCCTGCGACCCTGGTCATATGAGCCTACAGTAATGGTGTCAACATGCACAAAACCCATGCAAACACAAGCAGACAAAACCCAGCATAGAACTGTGGAAATGGGCAGCAAGATTCAATGTTAGCTGAAGAACAATTGGCAGCTTATTACTGCTGGGTAAGGAACAGCTGATCTTCATAAAGGGGGTACTCTAGACAGGTTGACTAGATCTCAGTGGATGAACTTGCACTGAGGGATGTCTGGATACACTAACTTGATTTGATAGGCCTTAACATCAATGACAGAATGCATGAAATCCAGTTTGGGGGCCATGGGAGGTTGCCAGTGGGGAAGAGGATATAAAGATGATTAAGATGTTCTATATGAAATACACATAAATTCAATAAAAGTATTAAAAAATTTAAGTCCTGAGGAAATTTCAGAAGGCTATGACTTTTAATTTCACTTTGACTTGATGTACCTTCTGGAAGCTCAGAAGCCTTATATTAAAAGAGCTAATGCTGACACAATTTGGTTCAGTCCATCAGTATGTATAGAACTCCCAGTGCCCATCTTCCACTAGGCCCTATGCAAATGATGTGATGTGAGATCAATCAGGCACCATCCACTGCCCCAACTTAAACACTGGGCTGAAGGACAGACATACATAATTGGTTGTAATATCCTAGAGTTATAAAGGCTATATTCTGCTGGTATGAATGAGATACTCTGGCATCACAGGCAAAAGAGTGAGTCATGAGCCTAGGGAGGCTAGAAGCTCAGCAGAGGAGACATCTGAGCCAAGTCTTAGAATATGCATGGTATTGGACTAGGCAGAAGAGGCATTCCAAGTAGGGGAAACAAAATCCACACCAATCTTTTCCAACTGGATTTTTAAAAAGTGTTTTACTTCCTGTGTTGGGAAGGTGGCTCAATTGATAAAGTACTTGCCACTCAAGCTTGAGGACCTGAATTCTTCCCCACCCCCATCCCCGAATCCATGAAAAACCCAGTCAAAGTACATGTGCTTGTAATCCTAGACTGGGGAGGAGGAGACAGGAGGATCCTTGAGGCTGACTGGCAAGCCATTCTAGCTGAATTGGTAAGCTCCAAGTTCAATGAAAGACCTTGTCTCAAAAAAGAGTGGAGAGCAAGTGAGGCAAACATCTGACATCAACCTCTGGCCTCTACACACAGATGCACACACATGTGAATATACACGTACCACATACACAGAATGTTTTACTTCCTTAAAAATGTTTAGGTTTACATTGTTTAACATGAGGCAAAAGTCTTAACACAGATGATTTCTTTCTGACTAACCTGTTCTGCTGAAAGAACTCTGGATGCTTTGGAAACATGTAGCGATAAGGAAAGGACATAGGGGGCCTCTGTGCTGCCAAGGGTAAAATCCAGAAGAGCATCAGTCCAGGGCACCTGTGTGTGAAGAGGGCTACTACTACACTGCGAAGGGCATACTGCAACCACATCTTTCCAGTCTTAACATACAAGTTACATTACTCTTTAAAAAAAAAAAAATCTTCCAAAAAAATAAAAAAGATCTACAGAGGCGTCAGCTCTAGGGTCTGCAAAGATCATGCTCTGTGCCCAGATCTGCTTAAAGAAGGTAAAAGAACCTATCATTTCCACTCAGCCTCTTAATCACACATCTATAACGAGCAGAAGAAAAGCCTGGCTGCTGACCTTGTCTGTATCCGCCTCTTCTGCCACAGGAGCACCGGGGTGGGAGGCAGTTACTAAGTTCCCTAGATAGACCTGGAGAAAGGAGAGCTGAAAACCCCTTGTTTTCTATGGAGTTCTAGACAAAGGTTGGGGTGACAGTGGCTGGAGGCCCCTAGGACTCTAACACTGTAGTGAAGATGGATGGTGGAGAGCCACAGGGACCAAGTATAAGACTGTGATGCAGGTCCCGGGGCCAAAGCAACCTTGAAACATTAAAACGGAAGGGAAATTCACTAGAAGCCTTTACCGTGCTTTTTCACATTTAATAAAATGAAGCTAATTCATTCACATTCATATTTAAAGGTATGTAAGAAAGATGTAAATAGCATCTACATTGTGCTCTTCTTTTTTTTAACTGTTGTTTACCTCAAGCAATCTACAGAAAGAGCAGCTGGCAGAGGGAAAGACTTAGGGGGACTTGCCTTGGAGACTTAACTCCTTTATTCTCTACATTAATGAAGATGACATCTAGATGCAGAGTCTCCTGCTTGGTTTCCTGAGGTTTGTGCCCCAACGCAGGTCCCAGAGACTTCCCCAAGCTCAGGAGATTTGGACCAAGGCTCCTGGTCTGCTGTTGAGTCACTGTGTGACCTTGGACTGGTCACTGCATTCTTAGGTCACAACAGAAACGGTTTGCATTAGATACTTTGTCTTTTTTCTATAACGTTCTTTGATTCTAGAGAACAAAATAATGTTTTAAGGAAATGTTTTCCTTCTTCTGCATTGTTTATGTTTAGTTTTTAAAGAGTTACCTTCATAACAACATAACAATGCCCCATCTAGTGTCAAATGTGGAACATGGTCCTTGAGCACAGTGCAAGGAATGATTTTAGACTG